CTTAAGACTTCCTCCTCCTCCAAAGGAAAGGAAGTCATGAATACTACCACTGCACCAGCTAAGATCTCCAACAAGAAGAAGAAGATAGAGATCAAAGTGAAATCTTTTGCCAACCAAGACCAAGAGAAGTCTAGGCCTACTCTGAAGGAACCAAAAGAGAAGGAGTATCCATTTTCTGACTCCGACGTTCTAGAAATGCTCAACCATCTACTCCAATCGAAGTTGATTAACCTTCCACCACCCAACCGACCTAAAGAGCAAGGACGTGTGACAAACCCCAAGTATTGCCAGTACCATCGGATGATAAGTCATCGAATTGAAAAGTGTTTTGTGCTGAAGGACAAAATACTTCATCTCACATTACAAGGAAAGATCGAGTTAGATCTTGGTGACAATTTCGCTACTACTAATGTCACCATGGTGACTTTTGGGTCTTTTGACCCAGTACCACTGCAATCCTCTACAAGACCTTCTTCCTCTGCTCAAGCTACAATGCGTGTCCAGACCTCAAGGAACTCTACACCCACAAAAGGGAATTCAACACCATAACACAACTCAGTAGATTCTCCTCAAATTATTGAGAAAAGGGGCAAGGTAGCTGGACCCCCAATAGTGTCTTTCCTTACGGTATCCCTCCCACAAGGACAGTTCCTATCCAATTTATTGTTGATCAATAGGTGACCACTGTCTATGCCTATCCTGACATGCCAAGGCTTAGGAATCCCAACATCCCAACTCTCTGAGTTGATGACTGATGACTTAGACTACTGGGAAGAGTCATCTATTTTAGAAGATGAGATAAAAGATGGGTAGTCCACCTTCACTAGCAAGAAACTCAAGGAGAAGTACGCTACTAACTGGAAGGAATCATTTCGAATGGGGGCAAGACTATCTCCATCTACTCTAGAGACTCAAAAACATCTCCTCAAGACGAGATCGGATGGATTGTCGTCTCTCGGCATAAGAACAAGGCGCCTCGTCTCGTCGTCCCTGGGCTAACCAAACCAAAGCGAACTAGAAGACGACGAGTACACAATGCCTCCAAGAAGAAGAAAGTGCCAAAGAAAAAAGCACCTCAAGTACCACAAGCTAGTGAAGAAGAAGCACTTCAACAGCCTCATCCGACTCCAATAACCCTTTGGGAGTTCATGCTAAGAGAACTGTTCCCATATGAGTGTATAGTAACAAACATGGTGATAGTTGACGAAGAGGAAACATCACCATCAATAAAAGAAGCTTCATCCGACGAGGACGAAGACATGACAAGGCTTCTTCAAGAGCACCCCATGTGTAATGAAGAAGTAAGAAAGCAACTAAAAGAAGTTCCATCCCACCTGAGCCTTACCCAAGCACTACAACTACCATAGAAGGTTTGCATTGCAATGTCAAAGACCATGATTCTCCCCAACAAGTACCAAAAGGGGACGACTGCGCGGATTGCATGGCAACAATTACCTTCATAGATGGGGATCTACAACACAAGTCACATCCACATAACAGACCCTTGTATGTTGTTGGATATGTTCATGAACAAAAGATGTTATGCATCCTCATTGGTTGTGGATCTATCGTCAACATCATGCCAGTAACCACTATGAAACAACTTGGGATTGACAAGGATGAATTGCTAAAGAGCAAGTTGACAATCCAAGGCTTCAATCAAAAGGGACAGTGTGCTGTATGCATGGTGTGTCTCAAGATAGAAATAGGGGACTTAACAATTTCGGTCCTTCTACATGTCATCGACACCAAGACATCCTACCAGCTACTTTTGGGACGTCCGTGGTTGCATGAGACAGGAGTGGTTCCTTCAACATGGCACTATTGCTTCAAAGCCGAGCTTGAGCCTTTCAACAAAGCCGAAGCGCATTTTGCTGATGTGAGGTTCTATGCTAACACGGTCATCTTAGAAGCTCTTCCAGTCTCTATGCCGAAACCTTCTATAAGGAAGGTCTGGAAGGAAAAGGAAGACACAATGCATGAAGAAAAGGCATCTTCAAGTGGTAACAAGAAGCCTCTACAAAACCAACATGCATATGCTACATTGCCAACAACTCTACCATTAACTTCCTCTCCTTGTAACCAATTAGCCCCCATGCTTCGTTACACCCCAAGTCGAGGAGAAGGGAAGGGCAACTACCTTTTGAGGTAATGGCTGCACCAAGCACTGCACCAATATCAAGGAATGACATTGAAGCTCTTGAGAAGAATCTTGTGCTCCCAATCTTCAGAAAGACAATCAGTGTTCGACATGCTTGGAGGACTATATGCTGCTCCAACGTCTTCTGCGCAACTACAAAGGACTTCAGTACTCTCCCACATAGGGTCCAAGGGTGTCAACAGACTATTGCCATCACATCTCCATCATCTTCTCAATCAAAGTTAAACCTTCAACCAGGACAAGACGTGGAATAGCAAAATGAAGGGATAACTAAGGATGAAGACATTGTCTCAGTTAATCACATTTCCATTGAGAAGGAGGAGGATGAAGATCAGTCAAACACTTCTTTAAATGAAGAACTTGAGCCTGCTCCACCTACCTTTGAAGAGAGAGGCCAAACAATAGTGGATGACTTGAAGGAGTTGAACCTTGGAACTAAAGAGGAACCTAGACCAATCTACATCAGTGCACTCCTTATCCCTGAAGAAGAAGCCAAATACTTCAAACTACTTCATGAGCACAAGGATGTTTTATTTGGACATACAAGGAAATGCCTGGGTTAGACCCGAAGGTTGTTGTCCACCACTTCTCTATTAGGCACGGGGTACGACTAATCAAGCAAGCACAAAGTCGATTCCAGTCCAAATTGAAGTAGAAATCAATAAGCTCATTGAAGTTGGTTTCATTTAGGATGTGAAGTATTAAACTTGGATCACAAAAATTGTCCCTGTAAGGAATAAGAATGGACAAATTCGAGTTTGTGTTGACTTTCAAGACCTAAATCAAGTTTGCCCAAAAGATGACTTTTCTTTGCCTATCACTGAACTCATGGTGCCTAAGGATGAACTCACGGCCTTCTGAACACCAAAGGGGATCTGTTGTTAAAAGGTGATGCTTTTTGGGCTTAAGAATGTCGATGCTACGTACCAACGCGCAATGCAACGAATCTTCGATGACATTCTTCACAAGAAGGTCGAGTGCTACCTCTCAAGTGTGCATTTGGAGCCATCTTAGGCAAGTTCCTCGGGTTCATTGTTCGCCATCAAGGGATTCGAATCAATCAGTCAAAGATTGATGCTATCCAAAACATGCCAAAACTGCGGAACCTACAAGAGTGGAAGATTTTCTAAGGACGATTGGATTACATTCGATGGTTCATCTCCAACCTGGTAGGACATTGCCAACCATTCAACAAGCTGATGAAAAAGGATATTCAATTTGAGTGGGATAAGACCCACAAAAATGCCTTAGAGAGCATAAAGCAATACCTTTTCAAACCCCTAGTACTTGTCGCACCAATTCCTGAGAAGCCGCTTATCCTGTACACCGCTACACAAAAGCAATCATTGGGAGCCTTGTTGGCATAAGTCAATGAGGAAGGGAAAGAAAATACACTCTACTACCTCATTCGGACACTAATAAGAGCCAAGTTGAACTCTTCACCCATAGAGAAGACTAGTCTTGCTCTCATTTTTGCCACGAAGAAGTTACGACATTACATGTTGGCACATACTGTCCACCTCATCTCAAAGGTAGACCCCCTCACATACATCATGACACGACCTATCCTTTCAGGAAGACTAGCTAAATGGGCTCTCCTCTTCTTAGAATTTGATATTATCTACATCCCACAAAAGGCCATGAAAGGATAGGCACTAGCAGACTTTCTTGTAGATCACCCTATTCCAATAGATTGGAAACTCTCCGAACACCTTTCTGATGAAGAGGTTTTCTACATAGACATCTTACCAGCATGGATGATGTTTTTCGATGGAACAATATGTAAAGATGGTGCAGGTGCTGATGTTGTATTTGTCTCGCCACAAAGAGAAATCCTCACATACTCATTTGTCTTAACTGAGCTTTGCTCTAACAACATGGTAGAGTATAAAGCTTTAATCATTGGCTTAGAAATGGTCATTGACTTGAAAATCCACCACCTCACAGTATATGGGGATTCGAAGTTGGTAATCAACTAATTGAAGACAGAGTATGAGGTGTACAAGGACGACCTAGTTCCCTATCACCATTGTGCAATCCAATTACTGAAAGAGTTCGAGCATGCTACCATTGAACATGTACCCAGAAGTGAAAACAAGCAAGTAGATGCCCTTGCCAATCTAGCAGCAATCTTAGCACTCATGGGTGATGAAGTAACAACAATACCCATTTGTGCAAAATGGGTTTTCCCCCCAAGTCACCTCAAGAAAAAATAGAGCAAGAAAGCAATGTGGCTTCTATATTCATTATAGATGTTGAGGACTAGAGACAACCCTTCATCGGCTACTTGTAGCATGGGAAGTTGCCTGAAGGTCCCAAGCATAGAGTTGAGATACGGCATCGAGCACCTCGTTTCCTATATTACAATGACAACCTTTATAGACGCTCCTTCAATGATGTCTACATGAGGTGTACCCATGGAGACGAAGTCCAAAGTGCACTTGACCAAGCACACTCTATAATTTGTGGTGCTCATCAGTCATGACCTAAGCTTCATGATCGCCTTAAGTGAAAGGGCTTCTATTGGCCAATAATGATACAAGACTCGATCGAATACACCAAAAGATGTCAGGCATGTCAATTCCTTGGGGACTTTATTCACCAACCACCAAAACCTTTACATTCTACAGTTGCATTGTGGTCATTTGATGCATGGGGACTTGATGCGGTTGGTCCTTTGCCTAAGTCTTCTCGCTAGCATCTTTTCATCCTAGCAGCAACGGATTATTTTTTCAAATGGGTTGAAGCGGTTCTTCTTCAAGAAGTAAAGAAAGAAGATGTTGTCAACTTCCTTCGGACTTACATTTTCTACCACTACGGTATTCCACGTTACATAATCATGGATAACGGGAAGCCATTCTCAGCAGCACTGGTGACACAATTTTGTAATAAGCTTGGCATTAAACAAAGGTTTTCAACCATGTACAATGCAACAGCCAATGGACTTACAGAGGCCTTTAACAAAACTCTGTGCAAGTTACTTGAGAAGATTGTGTCCAAGTCAAAGAGATATTGGCATGAACGCTTGGATGAGGCCTTATGGGCATATCGAACATCTTACCGCATTACTACAAATGCAACTCCTTTTGCTTTAGTATATGGTGTAGAAGTTGTACTTCCCCTAGAGAGACAAATGAACTCCCTAAGGATGGCTATTCAAGATGGAATTACAGAAGATGAGAATTCAAAACTATGACTAATTGATCTCGAAGCGCTAAATGAGAAAAGGTTAGAAGCTTAACAAAGAATAGAGTGCTACCAAGCTCATTTGGATCATGCATTCAACATGAAGGTTCGTCTTTGCTCCTTTTAGAAAGGAGATCTTGTCCTTGTTGTTCGATGACCTATCGTTCTCTCACACCATTTAGGGAGGAAATTTGACCCTAAATTGGATGGGCCTCACGTGGTGGAAGAAGTCTACACTAATAGTGCTTATCTCCTTGTCATGCCAGAGGGTTTACGTCTTGGGCCCATTAATGGAAAGTAACTTAAGAGGTACTACCCCTAGTCTTTTGCATTGTAATGCTCTTAGCCCACATGAGCCTAAATTGCGAATGGCAAAAAAAAAAAAAAGTTTTTTTCATTGTAACGCTCCTGGCCCACATGAGCATAAACTGTGAAAGGCTTAAAGTAAATGTCAAACATAAAGGTTTCTTCTTTCTTTTTATAGATAGAAAAAGGGAACTTTAACTTTATTGCTCAAGTACGGCATTTACAATGCAAAAAAAACAAGAAAGAGGAAAATTGTCTCTCCAAAACATTCCCTGCACTTGGGACCTTGGTGAATCCAATATGCTTTCGAGAGAGCCTCAAATGCCTTTAAAAGTTCAGCCTTCATCTTATATATTCCCTACACTTCTTTGCTTTCAACCTTCGCTTGCTTTAGGTCATCATATCGAGCCTTTGCAGCTGCAATTGCCACCTCAGCCTCTCGTTGGTCTTAGGCAAGAACACTATCTCGAGATAATAAGGAATAATGTTTTTCCTCTATTTTTTGCCTCTCATCCTCAAGTGTTTGAAACTTTGCCTTGATTTAACATTGTGCATCTTCAACAATGGCAAGATCTACTTTAATTTGATTCCTTTGACTATTGATAGAAAATGTGTTCTTTGCATGTGCATCCACCTTTGTGGATAAAATTGATAATTCCTTCTCCTTTTGCTTTTCGGTTGGAGCATTCTTAATGGTATCTCTCTAAGCATGGTAATCTTATACGTATGATAACAATGAATCAACTTTTTGAATCAAGAGAGAAGTATTAAGGTGGAAAACGTCATCAAGAGCCTCTACAATCGAAGGAAACTCGGTTGTTCGCCAACCCTTCATGTAATTGAAACTTTTCTTGCTTATAGGCTCCAACTCATCCTTTAAGAAGCTTTTTATTCCTTCCACGTTAAGGAAGCATGCACATGCTGCATAATCTCCAATAGGACTAGTTGACCGCTTGGAATAACTTGAAAACTCTGGCACTGCTTGATCTGTAAAAGGACTTCTTGAACAAAGAGAGAAAAATTTATGAGAATTGGAAGAAGTGACACTATGAGAATGGTGGGATGAAAGGGATTGTGCTTCCTCAGTGTGCTCTCTACCTTGCATATTAGAATATGCATGCCAAGTGCTTCATCGTCAGGAAGAGAAAAGTCATTGATGTTATCTCCCAATATATCCAATATATTCTCTATGGCATCTGTGCCAATAGTGTCATTATGAGGTATCTTTGGGAATGGCTCCAAGTGATGATCCTCTAGCACGGGAAAAAAGGCTGCAAGATAGAGAGGCTGCATTAGTGAAAAAACTAAGGAAATAGAAACAAGATTAAATTACAAAGTATAGATCTTACCACTAGCAATGGTACGAGGCGACGGATCTAAGGTAGGAGCTGAAATTAAAGAAGGCGGACTAATCACTGATGATTGGTTAGTTACTGCATCAGCAGCTAGTTTAGTCTCTTTGTCACGGGTTGCTGTGGAGGAAGTTTGTCTGCTTCCTAGATTCTGAGAAACATCAACATCTGTGAGTATATGTTGCTGGGATGTTCTCAAAGTTGTTACCTCTTTGGGATCGCCATCCAACTCAACTACATTTTGGGATTGCGAGAACAGTGCCTTAGGTCTATGTATCTTCACTAACTTCTAGCGATGATGCTCACTGTTGGAAAGAGAAGTGGCAATAGGGGTCATCATCATGACCTCTCTTTAAAGGAGGACCTGGAGGCTGTTTGCTTGAATTCACTATCTTTCCTTTCCTTAGGATCTTTCTAGGCACATATACAAATTTACTGTGATCTGTTGTCCCACTTAATTCACTCAAATATAAGGTCCTCACAATAATGTCCTCTAATGCTTTTCCTACACCTTACATCCATCAACTCAAATAACTAGGGTCACACTGGCAATCAATATGTCCAACTAGCCCTAGAATATAAAATGTAGCATTGGTATTCACCTGAGTAAGGGATAACCATAAGCCATAGAGCTGGTGAGGACTGGCCTTATAAAATAAGTACTTTAGAGACCCTAAAAGTCTTTGATGGAAACCTTACTGACAAGAAAACCTATATGGACTATACATTTCCAAGAAACAATGAGACGCTTGATGCAACATCACATAGCTAGGGTGAATGTTGAACATAAATTCTCTAAACTCTATGGAGCAAGAATCATCGCCTAAATGATTTCCAAGATTCTGAACATTATATTACAATTTTCTGGGTCTCCAACTAAAGTCATTCTCTGACATGGCTCCACGAAGGAGGTCTCGAGCTGACTTGGCCTTTGCCTCATAGAAGAAGTAGGCATTCAAGAGACCTTTGAACATCTCAACGAGAGATCATCCGTAAGTCGACAGAACATCAATGAATACACCTTTAACAAAGTATACTCCAGCCTAAGCATACAAGTAATGTCCAGGAAATGCAAACGTCGACGCCTCAAGAGAGTTAGATGACCCCTTTACTTGTGCATATGTATCGGAAAGGCCCCGATAAATGCTTGTTAGCACAAGAAGAACTAAGCTATATGTAATGCCATGAGACATTCATGATGTTTCCTTGAATGTTCCGGGACAAAGAACGTTGAGATCATTTGAGGGCAAAACAAAGCAACACAACCACAAAGCTAAGTAGGCTTCTATCCAGGCTTCATTCTCAATTGCTTGATCCTTAGGAAATCCTAACCTGACAAATGGATTTTCTTTGCACCTCTTCGAGCTGACTTGTTTTCCTCTCATCTGCAAAGGCCTATTAACTTTCCTGATTGCATAATATTCCTTGGTCTTCTTGTTGAAATCATATCCAAACTTGGCGTCTTTATAATCCTGGAGAAAGTGAGGATTTGGAATCCTTTCATTTGTTGTATACCAGAACTCGAGCCAATCTGCATGAGTAACTCGTCGGATCCTTTTTTGAAGGCAAGTTGAGCATAGGCTTTGAACAAATAATGGCATGAACGAGACAAACCATGTGGACTAGAAGACACTAGAAGACATTAGCTCCTCTAAGCTGGGAATCACTTCCTCATAATATTCTCCACCAATGTAAAGGCCTAAGATCGGTTGGATGTCCCAAAGAGATATTCCGACTTCACCTCTGTTGGTCACAAAAGTGTTTGTGTCAAGGCACCAAACTCACATAGGGCTCTATAAATGTTGTCAGGCCGACTATACACACGAGTAGCTGCATGGACCACTCGACTCAATTCTTTCATGTTCCCTATGTCTCGAAGACGGTTGGATACTTCACAACCCCAATCCCAAAATTGGCTAAGATACTGAATCTCCCCTCTTGGGCTCAAATTAAAACCCTATTTCATGGACCCTTATTGTATCTTCTCTGCAATATAGGGAAATGGATGGTTATTTATAGCGGTATGGTGGAAAGGATGTTTTAAGCATGGTTGCCTAGGCATAGTAATATAATCCCCTTAGTATATTTCATGGCACCCGAGGTACCAACTAATCTCTATCAACCTTGAAAGTGGTTCTGGTTTAACTCCACTTCAACCGTAAGGACCTATCATCGGAAAGTACGAGCTCAATGTGATGAGCACTCCTTGACCCTTGAGGTTTTACCAGTATGCTAGGAAAGCAAAGGAATTATCCCTTCAACGCGAGATCCACATGCTCCATCACCCACCCTTCTTGAGGTAAACTCCTTGGCAGAAAGGGTGTAGGAGATGATGAAGAGACATCGTGACAAGGTGAGCTAGAGGAAGCCATTACCTGCATAAGCAAAGTAAGAGTGTTAGTACCATATGAAATATTTACCTTAAACTGAAGAAACAAGACATTTGTGGCACACTCTGGTGAAGAAGCTCTATGCAAGCTAATCCTTAAATCCAAGAGACCTCGGACCCAAAAGTCTACGAAGCTTTGGACCTAGGGACCCCGAACCATTGAAGGTCTACGAGGGCCCACTAATGATGAAGCTCCACATGTTGTGGCTCTCTAGTGAAGAAGCTCTATGCAAGTTAATCCCTAAATCCAAAAGACCTTAGACCTAAAAGCCTACAAAGCTCTGGACCTAGGGACCCCAAACCATTAAAAGTCTACGAGGGCCTACTGCTGATGAAGTCGTATAAGTGTGCCAATTGAATTAATGTACCAAATCTATAGTCCTGTAGGAGCAAAATTACAATTATGAGATTTCATCTTGCTAAGAGGAGAAAAATAACAAATATAACTAATGCAAATATCACCGATGCAAGTCCCTAACTAATTTTAAAGGAAGGGAATGAACATGAAATACCAAAATCTTCTTACAAAATCAGTCATTCACCACAAGGCCCTTGTTCAATTTCAAACTCAGCTGCAATACAAATTTTCTACTGCCAAGAAGTCCATAAACAAAAAAAGGGAATTGACACCTTGCACCAGGTGACAAAAAGATGAAGTGAATGAAATCTTGATGAAGCATATCCTTGGAGAAGGAAATGCATTGTCAATACCAGAGCACAAGAACACCATGTATGACAAAAGCAACAAGTCACTTCCTTTTCATTGACACAAAGTGACTACCTCGAAGGTTAAATCCAATATTACATTCGGTTTCAACAATTGAAAAGGAGCACCATGCCAAGAGAGTCCAGGCATTGTTTATACTGATGCTAGTATCAAATGGGAGCTTTAGTATGGCGATATGATGACTATCTACCATTTTGTTAGATGAAACACCTAAAACGTCTATAAGAGCTTTAATC